GGCTGACATGAACAGGGTTCCCCCCCCCCCCCCCGCGCGCGCCCCCACCTGCGCCGCGGCCGCCGCCCTGGCCCTCGCGGCGTCCGCCACCGCCCGCGCCACCCTCCGCTCCCCGTCCCTCGCGGAACCGGCCAGGCTCTCCACCTCCGCGTTGAGAGCGGCCTCGCGCTCCAGTGTCTGCTGGAGCCTCTCCCCGAGGAGGGCGGCGCGGGACTTGGCCTCTGTGCCCTCCGCCAGGGCGAGGTCTGCCCGTTGGCCGGCCTCCCTCACGGCGGCGATGAGCGTGTCCTTCTCCGCGGCCCAGTCGCGGCGGGCGTCTGAAAGGCTTTTCCTCGCCGTCAACGCGGACGACTCCAGACGCCTAGCGGCGGGCGGGGGGGGTAGTAGCGGTGGCAGGGGGAGGAGAGAAGTATTGTTTGTGTTAGCTTCAAGAACAGGTGGTGGATGGATCGGGGATGTATAGTTCTGGGTATGTCGTGCGCAAGGGAAGACGAAACTAGACCCAAGATAGCGCCCCAAACAACGGGCCCAGGCCCACCCAAGCCGCGTCTCAACAAGAAACAGAGAAGAACAAACGCCGAATAAAATTCTGGATCAGAGTAAGAGTATACAGGGTACAATGCACACGCGCGTTGTCCCGCGCGCTTGTTGGTTGCCGTATGCAACTAAGCCGCCCTTGACTCGCCGTTGTTGGCGTGCGCAATCACCTACCAACGCCAACCGCAACAGCATATGTAGGCAGCAAAACCTTCTTCCTTTGGGGGAGGACTACCATAGCAGCACTTTATTGTGCGTTCCCCGGTCCGATAGGATAGATTAAGTAGGGACGACATTGTTGAGCCACCTTTGGCAAAGCAGGAAGGGACAATTGGCCATCCGTGATCGGTCCTCTGTGGGAACAATGCTCCGTCCTCCCGAGGACGCGTGGTCAATGGTCTAACCGGTAATCCACGCAAGAAATGGGAGTACGCCCCCCCCCCGGTCCCCTTCCGAGTGCTCGGGCCCTGGAAACGCACCTCCGCTCGGCGCTTGCCTCCTCCGCCGCCGCCTTCTGCTGCCTGTGCTCGACCTCCATCTGCTCCTTGTGCAGCCGCTCGGCGTGGCGGAGGCGTGCGCGTAGGGTCTCCGCCGCCGCCGTCTGCCTGTTATTGTTTTACATTTTTTCACGCATTTCATCAGATCAGAAAAAGAAGAGAAACAGGTTAAATGAAGAAGGAATACAGAGTAGAGAGTAGAAGTCAAAGAATCTTGTCAAAACCTCGACTTGGTACATAGTCGTGTCAAGCTTCAAATTCGGCCGAATGAAACAACGAGGTCATATGAAGCTGGATGGACTGAGAGAGACCCTCCCTGGCCGTCGCAGCACTCCTATCACCTACTTTTGCCCAGAGACCGCGATTAAAAGGGTCAGCATGGGTCCACTTCATGCACTTGCTTGTTTCCATGTCTGCGTGCCCACGGCAAGCGAGCGAAGAAGGACGGCGTGCTTAACTTTCAGCATGTACGAATGGACTTATCCAAGACGGCAGCGTAGGAATCGGTTCATGTCACACACTACTTTTCTCCCATACATCTGCATGATGCACAACGGCAAGCGCACGAAGAAGAAGAAGCACACCGACTCACCTGTCCAGCTCCTCTGCAGCGACCCCGACCCGCGCCTCCGCCACCGCCCGCGCCGCCGCCGCCGCCTCCGCCTCCTTCCGGAGCGACGCGGCCCGCTCCCGCGCGGCGCGCGCCTCGGCCCTCGCCCCCGAGAAGGCGGCCTGGCCCTCCGCGTCCCGCCGGGCGTGGTCGCGGTCCTTGGCGTCGAGCTGCCGGTGCAGCACCTGCAGGTCCCGGATGAACGACTCCCGCTCCTGCCTGAAGCACGTCTGCATCGTCAGCATCCTGGTCCCGTCAACGGTGGCGGCGCTACCGCCGGCGGGGGTTGTGCTGCTATGTCTTGCTGCCGCGTGAGTGTTGCTGCTTCGGCCGTTTGTTCGCGCCTGTCCGTGCGCATCGCCAGCATGCACTTGCTTGTGCTGCTTCTGCAAGACCATACTGTCGGTTCGACGCCCCCCGTCCCCTTGCTGCGCCTCCGTCGCCACCGCTCCCGCCACGCCACCGCCAGAAGATGCCCTCCCGCCGGCGGCCCGCCCCACGCTGCCACCGCTACCTCGAAAAACCTCGCGAGCAGCGTTAAGGCCCCTGCTGGCTCCTGCAGGCGAGGAACGACACCTCACGACGCCCCCACTCCCCCCGAGAGCTGTACTCGTAGCAGACGCCGTCGTCGCTCCAATCCCCCCCACCCCCGACGGCCGCAAGCGTGTCCGCCCTCGTACTCCGGCGCCAGGCGTTCCCTCTTGGTCTCCGCCGCCGCCGGCACGAGCTAGCGTCTCGCCATCGGACCCCGGCGCACTCTGCCGGCCTTCGGCTTCGTCGTCGCCATCGTCTTCCTCCTCCTCCTCCTCGAAGGCGGCTCCTTGTCCGAGCTCGCCGCCGGGCCTGCGTGACCCCCCCCCCCCTCGCCGCCGCCGCCGCCGCCCGGCGGCGGCAGCGGCGGCGGTAGGAGGCTCCGCGCCGGAGGCTTCGTCGCCCCTCCCTTCGAGTCTCAAGCGCTGCCGCTCCAGTATCCTGGTGGCGACCTCACCCTTGGCGGGCGACGGGGCGTGGGACGGGGGGGAAGGAAGGCAGCCGCCCAGAAAAAAAAAACACACATCCACGGGGGTTACCCGACGTTTCAAGCGGGAAAACAGCAAGCGTTGCGTGGAAGGAAGTTGTAAGAGATAAGCTTGCTGTTTTTGTTGGGGTCGAACGAGTGGGTGTGTGCCCTTCCATCTTGCACTGCCTGCTGTGCGGAACCGAACGAAGCCCCGTGTTCCCCGTGCAAAAAACCTTCTGAGTCTTGGCGTTTCTTTCTTTCGTGCTACGCGAGTCCCCGCCCGCCCGTCGGTCGGGTCCTAAACGCGGTATGTGCCTCACGAGAGCTGCTTAGATTGCGCATTCTCTCGCCACTTTCCAAGATATGGAGCATGCATGACAGATCACGTTCGATACACAACTTGCTAAGCCTGGAGAGGCAAGAAACCAAAACCAAGGCATGGGGAGACGGGCGGCGACTGTTAGACACGGGCTGGCTGGATTCCTCACCTGGGTCAGCTTAGGCTGCCACTTAGCCCACGCCTGCAGCAGCACCAGCCTGCGCAGATGTCCCACGATGGCGTCCACCGCGGCCCCGAGGCGCGCAGGGCCGGGAGCGGGTGCTTCCGGCCCAGGGCGCAATTGTCTCCTCCCGGATGGCGGCTGCATTTTTTGCCCCGGCTGCATTATGCTGCCGATGGTTTCACATGTGGATGTCTGGCGATCGGAAAGGGGAAGAGAGCACGGATCGGCATGATGGTCAGGAGGCGCACAGGGGGAGAAGAGGGTGCATTCATGTGGATGTGCGGTGCGACGATCGAGAAGCAGGGATCACTCAGCACGACGAGGAAACGAGGACAAGGTGTAAGAGAAGGAGAGAGAGGGGGGCTGCTTCTCTGTTGTTGCTGCCGCAGAGACGGGAATTACCCGGCTTTGTCTAGGCAGGCAGCTCTTTGGTGGTGCCGTTCCCCTGTGTAGCTCTGGGTCCCGAGCCCAGTGCGCAACGTGAATCTACGCCACATACAGTACGTGGTTCAGCTCGAAAAAGTAAGGGGATATCGGGCTCCAAGTGCCGGACTACATGCATCTCCTGTGTATAGCAAAACGCTTTTCTTGATTATCGTGAGCGGGCCGGTGCTCTCTTACATGGCAGTGTGTCGAGACCCTTGTCATTCACGGTGCAAATCACACAGAATTTGAACCATGTGGTGAACGAGATACATTGCGCTATAGTTGTCGGTACCTGGAGCTAGACGAAAGGTATGAGATCAGAACTTAGACTACTCATCGGCATATCATACATTCACTCTATTCCTTCGTGTTCTCCAGCGGCGAAGGTCTAGTGCTGTAAAGGAGGTCAAGGCCTCGCTGTGCAGCAGTTCTTCTTGCATCACCGTATTAGGATATCCACATCCTACTGTGTACTACAAGCTACTGTGTAGATAGTCATGATACTCTTGTACCATGTAGTGCGGGGTTGCTACTTGTGTATTCCTGCTCGACTGCGGGGACTACAGCAGTCATCTACAGCTACATGTAATTTGAGCATCCAATATACAGCAGTAGCGGAGTAGAACTATCTTCGCTGATTGGATGCGGGCACCTACACGAAGCAAGCAGGAGAGAGTCAAAAGCAGGCGTGTCTCAGCAGTTTCTGCCTTTTTGCTCATGTGCTTATGTGCTCTGCATGCTAATCGACGCGGATAGATTGGTGAACCACTACATAGAAAATAGAAAGACCACGCTGCAGAATGCGGAAGTCCTGGAGGTACGTTGTAACGGCCGCCTGCGCAAAACACCTCTTGTTTGAAAGAGAGTCAAAATATCATGAAATCAACTCCTCGTAAAAAGTGCAATGAGTAACCCTCACCTATTGCCAGCCTCATGCTGCGTCCACAGCGACTCGTGTACTACGCACCTTGTCCCGAGAATATCTCTCCTTTTGCGCCGTGGTGTTGGCCCTCTCTTTACTCTCGCCGATCTCGGGGTCTCAGATCTCCTCTTTTCGGAAAGAGAACCTGAACGCCAACCAGGAACGAACTCCCCCATTTTGACGACGCCATCCCCATTCCGCCGCTTATTGCGGTGGTTTGGCCAGCGCGAGCGAGAGATACACACGTGTGTGTCTCCGACAGGCCAACTTTAACACGTAAACTATGGCACCCATTGTTGCCGATGCCACGGCTGGGGTGGTCATGGCGGCTGCCGTGCTGGTCTCATCATCTTCGACAGCAGTGGCAGCAACAGCAAGACAACCAGCACCGGACCGTGGAGCAGCTCAACACCACCGTCGACGTCCTGCTTCATCGTACCCAACGGCCGCCGCAGCCGCCGCCACCGCGTCTCAGCCGCTGGTCTTGGCGTGGGCCGGTTGGGATCGGAGACGCAGCAGCAGCCGGGACGAGGCAAACCTCAGCACGTCAGCATTACGGACTGCCGACGAGAGAACGGCGGTTGCCGATGCGGCTGACTCCCAGCGCGTGCTTGACAGCTCGTGGACGCACGCGGCGTTCAGAGCGTTCCACGAGATGAGAGCGGGCCCGCCTCCTCCATCGGAGATTAACGGTGGAGAGGAAGAGGGTAAGGACGAGGGAGGCGGTGGCGCGACGGGCCCGTTCGCAGGCGCTCGACGCCTCGTCTCGAGGCCGGCCAAAAGGTGCGGCAGGTTTTGTTGACGTTTCGACGTTTCGAAAGATGTTGATGGCGCCGACAGGGGTGTGGGCGTGCAGAGCATCAAGATGGGCTACAGCAGTCCACTGCTGTTGTACATACACATGTAAAACTAGAGATGCGAGTATATGGGCAAACTTGCTGCTCGTGCCGTGATTCCCTACCCCGCTGTTCGCATGTTTTGCGCGCGCAAGCCTTTACTTATGTTTCACGGTTCGTGCACTGGCGATGGCAGTGTACAGCAAATGCCGGATCGCATGCCCTGCAGTCCGTGCTGCTGTACATCCTGATTGTGGTACAGCAGTGGTACTGCTGTACTGCTGTTGTATGCATGGAGAGTACTCTTGCCGCAGGTTCGTTGTGTGCGACCAGGTCTCAGCTATGTACCTCGTCCCCCCGCCCCAGCTGCTTGTACTAATCACCACCGAAACGCGGCATGTTTCGTCTCTTGATCGGGTTTTGCCACTGGTGATGCCTGACACGATATTACTGCTGTACCTCGTGTGACCATCGGCATGGTGTATCAACAACACCGCTGACGGGGGCGGCGGCGGCGGCGGCGGTGGCACGGGAAGGCCGGCAACGACAACAGCAGCAGCAGCGACGACAAGGCAAGAAAGAGCCGCCAAAACCTCGAGAAAATCGGCGGCGGGATCTTCGTCATCGTTGGCACGGCCGGAGACAGAGGACGGGGACGCAGGGCTATCAACAGACCCCCGCAAGAGCCCCCAATCCGAGCCCGCGTGCTGGCACATGCGAGGGCGGCTCACCAACACGGCCACCGGCCAAACCATCGCCCTCGTGGAAGGTGTCGAGCTTGCCAGAAGCCTGGCCTTCGAAACCGCCTCCTCAAGAAAATCGAGTAGACGACCGAAGAGGCCGGCGGGCGGCGCGGGTGGCGCGGGCGGGGCGGTTGCCGGGGCGGAGGGAGAAGGAGAGCTGGAGGTCGACAAGGCGCTCAAGCCAGGAAGGTGGACGGCTTTCGGGGCCCTCGCCACCAGCAAGTTTTTCATGTACCAGGTGCGGCGTGGCGGAAATTTAAACGTGCAACAACCACCCCGTTGGATGTGTGTACTGGTTTGCTCGGTGTGCGGCATCCAAAACTACTGGACCCGCGATTGTGTGTTTTCCGCTGCCGCATCACCGGTGTTCAGGAGACTTACCGATGTCGACATGCTTTTTTTGGGTTGTTGGCGCCCCGTTTGGCAGGACATGAATTTGCGCGTGTTGGTACATACCCGCAGTGTTGCACGCTCGCGCCGGTTTCATGGGCTCGGGTGGGAAGATCAGCCGATTCCTTGAGCGCCGCTTGCCCGACCTAGGAAATGAAAAAACGCTGCAAGGACGTCGAGTTGTATACGGGTCTAGACGATCACGGCAAGGAAAGGGCAGAGGTATTTAACTACGTACGCGCGGCACAACATTCTCCCATCTAGCGAAGTCAATTTTCCCACTCTTCCCCAACGGCCTGTCTGTACGCCCGCTGTCTTCCTCGTCTCTCATGTCCCCCTGCGCACATGTTTTGGCCTCCACGGCGGCAGCGCACACATTCTTCGCCCTTTCTTCCGATACGTTTAAAAACGTTGTCACCTCTCGCGGTTTTGTTCTTGCTCGCAAACGCGCAGGACCCGGCAACTGGGGAGCCCATGGACCACTTTCGCAACACCCCGGTGGAAAAGAAGCAGGCGGTTCGGACGTACGAGCGCTTCTCGCAGGTGGTGTCTCACCTCCTGCAGCCCAACGGGCGGGTGCTGGTGGTCAGCGAGTGGGACGGCCGCTCTGTGAAGGTGAACCGATGCTATGCTGGTCCTTGTGCTTCCTGATCTTGACGAAAGGTCGCCCAAGAACGGTCTTCGTTGTACCCCCTCTAGTGGCTGTACAGCAGTACCGTGTTTTTTTCTGCCACCGACATCTCAGTGTCTCTCTCGACCATGCGCCATGTCTATAGCATGGGCGCGGCGCCCTACGCTCACGCCCCGGTACCATTTTTCGTTGGGCGAGATGTGTAACGACGAAAGCCAGCGAAGAGAGAAACGATGGTACCGAACGCATGGGCAGGATTGAATTGTCGGCCGGTCTATTCCACCGCGCCTCTTGTATATGGATGTTCCCGGCCCTTCCTACGACAGTCGACTGTTCCCGTTGCGAGCACGCGGTTGGTTGGATCGCTCCGTAGCCGAAGATGCGTGACACTACACCGCTGCGCGTCCCACTTAAGCGCATGAAAATCCCCTCGTCCTCACGACGTGATATGTTCCCGTGCCCATGCCCTTGTTTCGGTCCGTTCATATAGGCGGAAACCGCCAACAACAACGGCGTGGAAGAAATCGAGGGGGGCCGTGGCGGTTGGTTTCCCGGCGGGGCCAGAGACCTCGGTAGCGGCAAGGACGAGCGGTCCCTGTCTCGCTCTCCCTCGTCCCCCCCCCGCCGGGTCTTCAACCTCCACTTTTTCGTCGAGGCTCGAACTCCGAAGGAGGAACGAGAGCTCAAGAGGTGGCAGGAACGGCCGGGTGCCCGGTGGATCGCCTTCGGGTCGCCCCCCCCCCGGGCCCACGGCTGCAAGGAGGTGTACAGCTACGTCACCGGGAGCGAACGGGAAGGGGGAGGAGGAGGCAACGAAAGAAAAGAAGGGAAGAAGGCCAGGCTGCCTTGGGCTTGGAACAGGAGCAAGGCGGCGTCGGATGCGCGGGAAGGGGATGATAATGCTGAAGTTGTCGACGATGGCTCCGTGGCACTAGCTTCGTCGTCGTCGTCTTCTTCGTCTGGACGGGGTGGCCGCGGCGGCGCCGGAGGGCTGATGTCCTACACGCGTTACGGCGAGTGCCCGACCTGGTACGGGACCGGGCGCATGTGCGGGCTGGACGTGCAGGCCAGGCGGGTGGACTCGTTCTCCTCCCTGCCGGCCAAGCTGAGGGAGAAGGTGCTGGAGGTGGACCCCGAGTTCGAGGTGGGCCCCCCCGGGACGATGGGCGAAGTTAGACGGGCCGCGAGAGAGCAGCGGTTGGAGAGGGAGGAGGAGAGGAGACGGAAGGGGAGGAGGTCGTTGCGGCGGCCCTTTGGGGCGTGGGGTTCGTCTTCCGCTCGCGATGGAGAGCCGTAAAATTCTGCCTCGTCGTGCTTTTTGCAAATTTGTTTACGCATGCGTGCGTGGGCCAAGCGAAAGGGGGCTTGGAACAGGAATTAAAACGCGTGAAGCAAGTGGTTTTTTGCTGGAATTTGTTTGTTCCACTGTTGTTTTGTGTGCCGAAAGGAAGGGAGAGAGAACTGGAGTGATAGATTGAGACCTTTGCTCGGTTTTAAAAAGTGTGTCTCTTTGGCTCCCGTGGTCTGCGATACGGGCTTTTCGCCCGAAACATGAGTGCGCTGTCTTAGAGTAGTCGCAAGATTTTTCAAAACCGCCCTGCGTTTCTGTTCCGGAGGCATGATTTACCCTCTACTTTTCAATTCGAAGCCTCTTGATCCTGCTGAATGTAGTTGCCAGGCTGACATAGGTAGCTCTCAGCTAACCGTGTACTCAAGCGGATGGCACGCACGCCGCGTCTCACGCCCGTCCCTCGTCTTCCACCGTAGGCACGAAACGCGGAAAAACGACAGCTTTTGTGTACGCTCACGTGGTCGGTGCAAGCCTACCCTCAAACGATTGTATCAAGAATCAAAGAAACCCCACGATGGTGCGAAACACATCCTCTGCCGTTAGTCGCACGAGCTTGTCCACCACCCTCGTCCAGCGTTCCGTTTCGTCCAACCTATTATCGCTTCCACTAACGCAGGCAAGTCTCTGGGACTCTCCTTCCACGCCAGAGTTGTCGACAAGGTCCGCGGTGGCAGTTCCGTTGCTGTCCTCGATCTCGTTCGCCGCCCCTGGGGCCCCGCCGACACCAATGCTTTCCGATCCTTCCGTCTGTCCAGCCTCGAGATCTGCGTGGTCTCGGCCGCCACGGCGTCTCGCTTCGATGTCACCATTCGGCGCTGTGCAGACCCTCTGTTGGCGCGCTCGAAGCATCACCGGCAAGCAGCGTCGTCGCCACGCCCGGTCCTCCTTGGCCCGCGACAAGAGGGAGCGCGCCCGTTCGATTTCGTCGTCTTGCTCCAGGTGACACTGATGATGCTCGTTCTCGGTGGCGTGATGATGCTGGTCAAGCTCAAGGAGTTCGGAGGCTGTTCGCCCGTCGCCGCCAACGACCTTCTCGTCGCCCCCCCATCGTAAGAGAAGGTCGACGACCGAACCCAACCCTCTCGGCCGATGCTGACACGCCAGGAGCAGCGGGGTTTGGGCGGTGCCGCTGTGGACTTGGTTGACGCTCGCCCCGCGCTCGAGGAGGGCGAGAATGGTTTCAAAGGGGCTGGAGGAGGGGGGGGAGGCCCTGGAAGCCGCCGCGTAGTGGAGAGGCGAACCCCCATCTTTGCGCTGCACGTTTATCTCGGCACCAGCATCGATGAGGGCATGGACGGCCCCTGATCCCGAAGACCAGTTAGCGGCGGCGTGGAGAGCGGTTGCACCCACCACGTCGTCACGCGAGTTAACGTCCACCCCGTGCTTTAGTAAAATGTTGATGATATCTATGCTCCCTTTGCATGCGGCAAGAACGAGTGGTCTGAAGCTCGAACTGTCGTCTGCGGTGGCGCTTAGCGCGCCGGCGGCCAGGAGAGTCTCCGTGGCAGCGACTCTGTCTTCGGCGATCGCGTGATGGAGCGGTCGGGCGCCGCGGTTATCGAGAGCGTCCCTGTGTGCCCCGAAGGCCAACAGCGTGGTGAGAATGCCTTCCTGCCCTCTAGAAGACGCGACGTGGAGGGGAGCGTATCCTTCTTCCCCGCCGAATCGCGCGTTCGGGCAAGCCCCGGCGGCCAAGAGGTCGGCAACGATCTGTTCCTGCCCGTCTGAAACGGCCTCGAAGAGCGGTTCGCATTGGCCATCCTCGCGTACGTCTTTGAAGTTCGGGCCTTCTCCAGGGAAAACGGACTCTCGGGTGGCGTGTTCGCGTTTTCCCGCTAGCGGTGACATGTTCAAGCGGATCCCTGAGCCAGACCTCCCGTTGCTCAGGCGCCGGGCGGTGCACAAAGATCTTGCGCTCCCGAACCTCAGAAGACTGCTGTGCTGCAACTTTTAGGCGACGTTTATCACAACCCGGAGCTCTAGAGAACGCCTGTGCAAGAAAGAAAGCACGGCGTGACGAAAAGGTGGCTGTGCTGCACACTCCTGGTTACTGAACAGAGTCGTGGGATGTCAACTGGTCATGGGAGCGGAAGATATACATAGAGATCTACAGTACGCGGAGGGTTATGTTCCCGTCCGCTGGCCCCCTGGTTCTGCTCTCGTTTGATTGGCTGATGAACCTCTGACGTGTGTTATTGACAGTCTTGCCAACCTGACACGTTGTCCCTGAAGCCTCTTGCTTCCTTGCCGCCTGGCTGCTGCCTTTTGCCAGCCAAGCGATACTGCTACACGTGACAGCTACACTACCTCTGCACTCAGCAGCTTGATTCCTCTCGATGCTCACCGTTCTCTGACTTGTGGCACTGGAGGAGGTGTAGTCTACCCCAGCACAGGTAAATTACCATACTGTATTGTACCATAGGGTATGTGCGTGGGACGACCTGTGTGCTCTCAGTGCTACATGTACTGCCGTGTCTTCTTCGAAGCAGCTGCGGTACTGGCTGTATCACTTGTCCAGGCTACACCTTTCTGGCATAGTATATGCTTCCTGGCGAGCAGAATTGCACCCGTTTCCATTTTGTCTCAGCCCCTGCCGAACAAACAGGCTTCACATCCGCTTTCGCACTCTTGATCGTGACAGGCAGGCTGTACAGAGTTGTTGCATACAGAGTGTTCCAGATACCGTCTGGAGTACCTGGAGTGCGTCCTCAGCCTTAACGCATGCTGGCCTGTGACATAGAATATCCTGACACCCTACCACGATTGGGAGAGATACAGACAAAGAGCCGGCTACACCAAGCGTGTTAGAATGCGGATGGTCTCTAACTTTTGCCCCCTAGTTGGAACATGAGACGTGGTGTCATTGAACTTCTGCAAGGGGGGTGGGTTGGGATCGTACGGGACTGCGCTGGTGCCGGGAAAATCTCCCCTTCGACGGCGAGTTACCGCCGCGAACTCTCTGCGAAAATTCAACGAGCTGAAGATACGCCCAATTCAATTGAGCTTAAGCAACGACACCAGTAGTAACGGTCGCACGGAGGTGCGGAATGAGGCGCGCTTGTGGTTCACTGAGAGCTGTGCAGAAACAAATCAGCGGGGAAAGTCAAATCTCACAAGCAATGGTCCAAGCTAGCATGCGAAGTCGGTGTGGCAAGAACATGCAGAGGCGAACGGGAACACTCTGGTTGGTCTTGTGCTGTTCTGTTGCGATGTCCTCGACAGGACGAAAAAAGGTGTTGCTGTCTGTAGGACAGAGTGCACCAGTTTTCACTGCAACCAAGACATGCGTACTCGCTCGCGTGGTGCCCCCTCACGCGGTGCGTGCGTGCGCTATACCGCTGACCACGTCAAAAGGATTCGGTCTCAACTCAGCTGGAAAACAAGAAAGCGATTCCAAAGGCCATGATCTAGGACCCCGGCAGGGGGGGGTCGTGGGAAAGGCATGTGCGTGTGTGTCCATCCCGTCTTTTTACCATTCTGGAGCCGACCCACACGCCTTTCGGTGTCGGTGTATGGAACGTACCTGACATCGCAGCCGGGGCCACACAGGAGGAAAAATCACGCAGTATTTTTTTTGTTTTTTTGCCCCAACTTTTCCTCCTTCGGTGTCATGTGGCAGGGAACCAAAAAGAGCCGACGGTCACAGCCCGAAAGAGCCCCGCCCCGGTTCATCTCCACCATGCGGGCCACGCCGGTCCTGTCGGCCGTAGCGCTAGCCTCCTCCTGCCGGGGGGGCGTCGTCACTACGGCCTCCACGAGCGCCGCAGCCCTCGCAGCGGGGGCGTTGCACCACAGGCCAGTCCCGTCTTCCTCCGCCGGCGCCGCTTCTCGAGCACACCACCGGTCATCGCGAAGAAGAGGAGGAACAGGAGAGAAGCGGGAGCCTGGAAGTCGCGGCAGCGGGAGCGGGAGCGGCGCAGGGCGGAGCACCCTCCTCTTTCAGTGCTTGTCGTCCTCCTCCGCGATGAGAGGTCTGACCCAAGCGCGGCCGAGGAGAGGCGTCCGCTCGATCTATTCCACCAGCGCCGGCGTAAGCTCGGCGGGGAGTAGTGCCGTGCGCCGGCGAGGCAGCGCCGGCCGTCGAGTCCGCCCAGCGGCGACGAAGATGGCGAACTCTTCTCCCCCGGTAACGGACAAGGACATCATGAGGGAGTTCGTATCGGTGGCGGCCTCGGAAGCGAGTTCAGCTGTCAAGAACAAGCCTCCCTCGGCGGTCTTGGCGGGGAACAAGCAGCACAACGGGGATGCCGGGAGGGGGGTGACGGCGGAGGCGGCGGAAGAAGAAGGGGGGGGGGGTGACAAAGCTCGCCCGACCGGATACATGTAAACTTTTCATGAGGAGGAAGGTGTTCGTACGTACGGCTGGAACTGGGTGTTGGATGTTGGGTGACTGTACGGTTCTCCCCCCGATGTTGTCTTCGGTGCTATATACCACTGCTCCTACGCCCCTTAAGTGTGTGAGGTTGCATCGCCTGAAAATATCATCAAATATATATATATATTGCCACACACACCGTCGAAGACCAATCGACAAGTGTAGCACTTCCGGCACAGCAAGGGGTAGCGTAGAGGAATGGATTGGTTCGTCGAGGGGGGAGGGTGTATCCCTTCTCTCCTCCTCCCGCGAGGTATTGCGAACAGGCGCAAAACATGCTGCGGCGACGACTTACGCTTATACATGCACACACCCACAACTTCTATTTTTTCTTCCATCTCCCTTCCCGGTTCTCTCCTCCCCCCCCCTCTCCCTCCCACACACACAATCACGATCAACCCTCTGTCTATGTTTCTGTCTTTGTGTATCTCTCTTCTCTCTCTATTTATTCCCCCATCCCTCTCTTCCTTTTCTGCGCTTGGCGCCCCAAAACGACTTATTCGGAACGCTGTGTGTGCCACATCGAACACTTCCGAATAAAAGGTACGGCGACGTGCTCACGGACGCGGATGGTCTGCCGCTGGTGTACGACAGTGACTCCATCGGCCGGTACTGGGACAAGCGGCCAGGGGAGGTGGGTGGGGCCGCATTGTAGAACAGCCTGCCTCCGGCGGGAATTATTTCCCAGCAGCAGTATTGCAGAATGACACATGCTTGCACGCGAAGCCACGAATCACCCTGTTTGACAGAGTATTGTTGTGCTACTACTGCTGTGATGTTGGATGGGTTTGCCTCCAATGCTATTGGAGTCCCTTCGACCGGTAAAACATTGGTCATGAATTTTCCAAGCGGGAGGGGGGTTCACGTTGTGCGGGCGTTTCTAGTCCAGCACATGGGCATTGGCACACACGACCGGCGTTCCCCTGCCCAGGGGGTGTGGCCGAAGCGGAGGAGTTACATCGCTTTTTGGGTGAACAGAGGGACCGCTGCCACGAAAGATATCACCCCCCCCCCCCAGCAAGGGGGGACGCTAGGGCTCGAGACTCGCTCAAGGGTTTGTTGGGAAGATTTCGCCCCCCGACAGAGGGGGGGTAGTAGTGTTAATAGGGGTTTCCCTTCCTCAAGCCCCCGGGGGGTGGTGTTGCCGTTGCCCCCCCCCCCCCCCGGTGCAGCTCAACAGCCGATGGAGCAAGTTCTTGTCGGTGACCGTGCCCTTCGTGACGAGGGTCGTGAGGGACTACACCTCCGGTAACATCATGAAGAACGAGGCGGTGCTGGCGCGAGACCTTCGCATCGTCATCGAGAAGCTGGGTCCGACGTTCATCAAGGTGGGTGGGGGTGTTCGCCGTGGGGGAGCAGGAGCGGGAGCAGGGGCGGTATATCAATGGGAGTAGCAAGTGGCCGTGGCGGTTTTGGTGGCATTGGTCATGGGAGAAGCCAGCGGGCTGCGGTAGCTTTGGTGGTAGAGGTCGTCATCGTGTGACCATGTGTCGTGCCTACAATCAAAGGCGGCGAAGCGAATCGATACACGAAACGAAAGCTCCCCCACGATGGTAGCGGTTGTACCACCGTATGGCAATACCTTTCAGCCTGTTTTATCTGTTGCACTGCTGCGAGCATTCTTTGAAGCGCTCGTTCTCCTAGTGTGTGCCCAGACCGTTGTTTCGAGTGCCGAAGCAGAACGTAAACGCGCGATTTTTTCTGTTCGGCTGATGATCGATCGCATCTTGGTCTGGTCTGGTCTGGTCGTCGTCTTTTTTTTTTTTTGGTCTCTCTCCCTGTGCCTGTCTGTCTCTTTCCCTATCGACTCCACGTCTTGGTCCTGGCTCTGCTTCTGTGCAGCTGGGACAGGCGCTTTCCATCCGCCCGGACGTCATCGGGCCCGCGGCCACAGACGAGCTAGGTGAGAAGGATCGCAAGTGTGCCACCGCAACCACCACCACCGCCACCAACTACCGTATATGACACAAGATAACACACCCCCTTGACCGTTTTTCAAAGCTCGATTTCTCAACAGCAGGAAGACTCACAGCGCCGAAAACGGCGGCGTTGGAACCGTCTCGTTGAGATCTTTTCGAAAATGTATCATTTCGTTTATGTATCCTCTTCGTCATCGAGTAATCAAGCTTTGATAATCGGGCCAGGGGGTGTGTTATCTTGTGTCATATACGGTACCTCAGTAAATAGGTCGTTCGTCAATCCCTGTAACGGAACGTGCAAAAAGGGGTGGAACAATAGGCCGGGCCGATGTCGTGTGCGTGCGCTTGCCACCGGGCTGCTGCTGGCCATGTTGGCACGTTTAAATGGGACGCGCGGCACACGCGTAGGTCAACCGTGAGAGGTGGCGTGGTGGTTGCACGCCGGCGTCAAGGACGGCGGCTTGAGGGGCATTCGTTGGCCTTCATTCAGAGACATATATACCATACATCCAACACCCTACCGCTTTCGAGCTTCTTTGTTTTTATTTTTCTGAGTGTCTCGTCAGCCGGTAGTCTAGAGGACGTCTCCTGCCTCAGCGAATAGTTTACTACAGCTCTTGCCCGTTAGTGTGGCCAACTTACTTGTTTTTTTCTCATTGGAAGCATGGCCGATTTCCGTGTTCGTTCGTTTCTGACTGCATTTCTTTTCTAACATTGCCGTCGTCGTCGTCGCCGTCGCTTCAGCCAAGCTGCAGGACGCGGTGCCCCCCTTCCCGACCCCGCTGGCGATGGAGGTGCTGGAACGGGAGCTGGGCAGGCCCCCCTCCGAGGTGTTCAGCGAGATCAGCGAGGAGCCCATCGCCGCGGCTTCACTGGCGCAGGTTCGTGGGTGTTGGCGCGTTCAAGTCGTTCCCCGCCGCCCTCGGCTTGGTGTGGTTGCGCTGAATCTGTTGACCTCCTCGTGTATTTTGTTTTTGTTTTCGTGTACCATGCACACATGGTACTGCTTTGCACTGCTGCAGTTTTTCGCCTTTTGGTTGGCATCCTCGAGGTGCGTGGTGGCGCTCTTCGGTCTGTCTGCGTGTTTTGAACCGTCGGTTTCGTCGCCAAGAGGGAGTGGTGATTCCGCCTCGTGGTGCGTTTTCTTCTTTTTTTTTTTGGTCCGCTTCGCCTTTGTGTTCGATGTCGGTCTCAAGGTGCGGTCTAGGAATTGAAGCGGAGCAGACACCTCATCACCCGCACCGGCCCACGTCACGTCGATTGCTATCTGTCTTTTGTCTTGAGAACGAAATCGATGATGCAATGTGCTTGAGATTGGATCACTGCTGGCCAACGTCTTTGTAGGTGAAAACAGAACCGGTGCCGTGAGAGGGAGCGTGACAAGTCTCAGACATGAAACCGGTATGCTCGCTTTTTTTTTCTTCTCATTTACCGATGCGACTCTAGAACCAACTTTGTGATGTGGCTGTTCCCCCCCCCCCCGACC